CCACGTCTCTCATTTTTCAAACAGCTCATGCAACTCTCCCACCCCCCGCCCCAACACCGATGGACACCAAGGCCGCCGCTTACACAAGAGGACACAAGTGGTACAATATGGGTTAGTGCACACCTATTAGGACTGATAGCTTGACGAATGATTGATAGGAAGTATCAGGACATGTACTAGCACTTATATTGTCTAGCTCGAGGTGCATGTTGTAATTTGCCAGTTGAAATGAGAACGATGCCAAATGATAAGTATTAAAAAGCAAGCTTTCTAAAATTTAAACTTTTAAAAAGGCTTCTAACCCCGCTAACTATCGAACCTGAAGACAATCGCGACACATCTGGCTCAGAGGAGATCGATTCTCGCAGCTTCGGTGTGTGACCGCAATCCTCCTTGATGTCGCAATTGTGACGCGTCCTAAGAGCGGAGCAAGAAGCTAGCATGGCAACGAATTCCCACATAATTCGTATACTAGACTTTGTTCTCCAAGTAAGTAGGTTGTGGAAAGGAGGGATGACTGAGTGGAGAAATTTGGAATCTTGATCAAAAGAAAAGTGTGTGGGTGGAATCAAACCAAGATGGCTAAAGGTATTGCTGAAAGTTTTCAGCTAACGAAAAACTCGATACGGGTACGTTTTCCAAACATGGACTAGGTTGTCCTTGCTACAGATGTGATTGGCTGGATGAAAGTTGACATGAAGCAGGTGTTTCCTCGACGTGGTCAGCCGTCGTCCATTCGGCAAGGAACACTCAAAAGTGCATCTCGTTCGTCCATTAGGATCCAACCCCAACGCTGGGGTGATGATACCCGATGCATATGTACACCCTGTTTCTCGACCCTCTCACCTTGCGCGATTCGCTGCTACAGTGCGGTCAGGTGCCATAAACCGTATGGCTGAAACCTGCGGGCAAAGCCGCACCAGCTGACGGAGTGGTACTGGGGGCAAAATTTTTCTTTATCGCTGTATACCCTTTTCAACCGCTTTGAAACGCTTGGTTAATGTTCTTTACCATGCAGCATCCTAGCTAACCGCTTTCTTGTGAATGTGCTTGTACCGTCGGTGATAAGACCATTTCAAACGTGGTGACGTTCTACAACCAGTGCATGTTCTGCAACCAGATGCTCTGCTAGCGCGAAACAAGGTGTACTGTACCGACGATTCGGACTAGGAGTTTTCGATCGGACGGCGCAGGGGTTGTTTCTCGATTGCGCTTGCAGAATTGGGATGTGGTGCGGCCAAGGCCAACCCACCTTCTTGGGAGAATGTTCTAGAGCAATCCCTTCTTGAATGCGAAGGACGCAGAACAGGTGTCATCGCAAGTGTTCTCGCACACAAGAAAACAGTAACCCCGTCACAGCTGTCCACCACTTTCGAGCGTTCATATCGCTCTCTAAAGTACGAAAGAGGGCGCGCGATGTGCAGCTTATCACTCAGGAATGCGCCCTACCAGTCAGATGAGGGGTTCCTGATAAGCTTCGAGTGAGGCCAAGTGAGTACACTCGAGAGACAGAGACAGCAACCGTGATTGAGGGTTAGGGTTGTGGCTGGATGTAGTAGTAGCATGATGATTTCTCCCTCCACTTTCCCTCACTTGTAGTTCTTGCAAGGTGTCTCCGTGCACCAGCACCGTGCTTGTTGGCAGACGGCGAAGTTAGCAGGTGATATTAGGCTGAAAAGACACATTTGCGACTCGATTTCCTTGTTTTGTTCAGTGGTGCGATAGCCTTTTTTCGTTGTCGAGCGCATTCAATCTCTCCGCTGTGCAGGAGTAAGTAATTTCGTCAAACTCGTTCAGAAAACCGGCATTTTTTACTCCATTCAAGGTATTTTGCACTTTCGCCGTTAGCTAATTTTAGATCACCAGAATTGGGTGGTGCGCTAGCGTTTAGCTGATTTTGAGAAGTATTTGATTTTTTTTTACCTTTGCAGTGGCCGGCGTTAGCACAATTGTATTATCGAATGTTTCAGCGTTGAGCCAGGACTAATCTCGACAATGCTTTTGGAGCATGATCAGTGACTACGTGACGTTTTGATATTTTTCATAGGTCAGAAAGCTACGTACATGTCGTCTTACGAAGCAATTTCAAGTTGCTGGTACTACTACTCGAAGATCCCGTGTAATATTTCCGGAAAATAGCCTTGCTGCCGAGATCTATCATTCATTCATCGCGGTGAGCGCGTCTCCTGGTATCCGAATCGCCATCTTCGCCGCGTTGGTGATTCCGACGTCCTCCGTCCGCGAGTCGTGCCGCGCCGTTTTTCATCGTGTGCATCGTCCGTTCCGTCCACAAGGCGACTAGATGATCGTGCATTTGGCGACGACGCATCCTGATTAAATTCAGTCCTAGTCAGATCGTTGTCCCGGGACGCTTCTATTCGCGTTACGACGCAGTAGTAAACGTGGATCGACGGTGGCGGTCGGAACGCGAAAGATAGAGACATTTCATAACCAGCGCTGGTAGTAATGCGAACATTGGATGCACGTACGTGGATAGCGCGGCGCGGTAGATGAATTTGATCGTCGCCGTGCGGTGGCGGTGAGGGACGAGGATTATCTTCAAGACGTCTTGAAGTAATCATTCTGCTGGTCCGACCAGAGTCTAGTGTGAATCCACAGTGTTGAAGAGAAGGTGCGACGATTGCACAGTGAAGTTTTTTTTCCAAGATGATTCTAGACGACGAGGAACGACAGAGCCGGTTCCCCCCATCGGCAGAGCACGAAGGTGCGCCGGCTGACGCGGTAGATACAGCTGCAGGTGAAGAGCCGGACGGAGGAGGGGGGGAGAGGAAGAGGAGGAGGGGAAGGAGGGGGAGGAGGAGAAAGGAGAGGAGGAGGAGGAATAGGAGAGGGAGGGGGAGGAGGAGGTGAAGAAGGAGAGGCAGCAGCAGCAGAAGAAAAAGGAGGAGGAGGAGGAGAAAAAGGAGAAGGGGATGAAGCATCTCCATCGTCTGAGTAAGCTAGTGCATGTATTCTGTCTGCAGGGGATGAAATTGCATGCGAGAAGCATGAAGCTCTGTATGACGTATTAAAGCGAGAATTATGATGCTAGGATATGATTCCCCTTGCACCACCAGTGCTCCCTTCAGCTCATCCCTCCCTCCTGCCCTTGCTCTACCTTTTACCTGCTCCTTCCCTCCTCGTCTTACCAGGAGCATCTCAAGAGACGACGAGATGGTTCGATCAGGAGGCTTTGTCCTCGTCTCAGGCTGCCTCTGCTTGTTTTGATTCGTCTCAACTTTTTTCCCCTCCCCCCCCTCCTCCTTTCCCCCGTGCCAGGAGCATCGAAAGAGACGACAAGATGGTTAGATCAGGAGGCTTTGTCCTCGTCTCAGGCTGCCTCTGCATGGACCCCACTGTATGTGCTGGTCCTTGCCTCGCTAGTACGGGCCCCACTGTATGTGCTGGTCCTTGCCTCGTTAGTACGGGCCCCACTATATGCGGCGCGTGCACACTGCTTATGGCTGTAATGGGCTTTGTTGTACAAGTCAGTGAATCAGCGTCGTGTCGCCGTTTGTGTTCAATATCGCTATGTGTGGTCAGTGTCGCTATCTGTGTCCAATGGCGCTGGTCCATTTGTCTTTCCTGTGAATGCACTTACTCGTTTCTTAGACGCTACCAAATATGCCAGGACGATGAATATGTCATGACGCTAGTGAAGATGCCGTGAGGTAAATCAGGGAGGAACAAGGAGCAAAGAGCTTTGTCTCTTGATGGCTGTTTTGAAGCATCCCTGGTGCAGTTATCTCCCTGGTACGTTGCTCTCTCTGTGTGTCCATCTGCCTGCACCTCTCCTCAGATGCTTGCCAATGTCTCGATGGTGGGCGTCAAAGCGCACACAACTTCAGGCGCCTAAGAAACACTCTGGTGCTCTTTTCCTCTCTGCTGCCTTGTTCTTTATGTCCCTCTGCCCTCCCCTCTCCTCAGATGCTTGCCAATGTCTCGATGGTGGACGTCAAAGCACAGACAGCTGATGTGAGTGCTACGGTGCTGGTGCTGACTTAAGTGCTACGCTTAGTGAGTTTGGCTTTCTTCGTGACCTTAAACATTGTATAGTATGAGGCGCTGAAAAAGTCCGGGTGACATTCGTTGGCTTACTAAGCCTGTGCCCTGTAGGAATCGGAGTATATGCTTACCAATCCTTTTGATATATTTTCATGTTTATTACGGTGGTTACTCAGGTGCTGAGGCGAATCGAAGCAGTCCTGAAGCAGGCAGGCACCAACCTGGTTCGGCTGGTGAGTGCGTGTGTGTGTGTGTGTGTGCTCGCATGAAGGGTTGCATACATTGAGTGCGGCCTACAAGCATGTTTGGGTTGAGGCGTGTTTTCAGTTTGATCCAGAACTCACCTGTGCGCTCGCCTGCTGAGAACATGTGCGCCTGCTGCTCCATGTCTTCCACGCTCTCCCATTCCCCTCCTTATTCCACCACAATGCCGCGAAACACAGCTGCCAGGGCTCGCACCCATGCTGCTGCCGGCAATTCCAAGACTCCTCCTGCCCATCCCCATTCCACACTGTCACTAACCGTCTGCATCCTCCCTCTGTGTCGGCCTGTCTGTCTGTCTGTCTGTCTGTCTGTCTGTCTGTCTGTCTGTCTGTCTGTCTGTCTGTCTGTCTGTCTGTCTGTCTGTCTGCCTGCCTGCCTGCCTGCCTGCCTGCCTGCCTGCCTGCCTGCCTGCCTGCCTGCCTGCCTGCCTGCCTGCCTGCCTGCCTGCCTGCCTGCCTGCCTGCCTGCCTGCCTGCCTGCCTGCCTGCCTGCCTGCCTGCCTGCCTGCCTGTCTGTCTGTCTGTCTGTCTGTCTGCCCGTCCGTCCGTCCGTCCGTCCGTCCGTCCGTCCGTCTGTCTGTCTGTCTGTCTGTCTGTCTGTCTGTCTGTCTGTCTGTCTGTCTGTCTGTCTGTCTGTCTGTCTGCCTGTCTGTCTTCCTGTCTCCCATGTTACCACTCCCCTCCCCATCCCATCTCAGGGCCAACGGAACGCAGCAGCCAGGGCTCGCACCCATGCTGCCACCGGCACTCCCCACACTCCTCCTCCCCATCCGCATTCCAGCAACCCTATTTCCACTAATCTGTCCCCCACGTTTTCTCCCATGCCCATCCCCATCTCAGGGCCAACGAAACGCAGCAGCCAGAGCTCGCACCAATGCTGCCGCCGGCACTCCCAACACTCCTCCTCCCCATCCGCATTCCAGCAACCCTACCGCCCCTAACCATCATCCCCACGTCTTCACCCACCATGCCTTCCACAATCCTTCTGGCACCCCCAACGCTCCTCCTCCCCATCAGCATCCCAGCAACCCCATTAACAGTAGCCTCCATCCCCACGTGTACACCCACAATGCCACCGCCAACCATGTGTTTCGCGATCAGCATGGAGTTGCCAATCCGCATGGCAATCCGCATGCCAATCCGCATGCCAATCAGCATGGCTTTTCCCTCGACCATTCTCCTGTGCCGCGCAGTCTTGCCAATCCGCATGGCAATCTCAACAACCCAAGTGACCCTGTGTCACCTAGGGCGTATCCGCATGTGAATGGCGATCCAAGCAGACTCGGGGATCCCCAATCGCATGCGCCACATGATGGAGCACATGACGCACATCAGTCACATGATGATGATGCCGCTGCTGCTGCTTACAGGCATACGAAAGTCAGCTATGCATACAGACGTACGACCAACGGCGTGGAGCAGGATGGTAGGGACAGCACAGGTGAACCTGCCGGGAGGTTCGGCATCAGGTCCGGTAATAGGTCCGGTAATAGGTCTGGCACTAGGTCCGGTATGAGGTCCGGCGTTAGGCCTGTTGACGGGCCTGTGACATGGGAAGCGGGCAGTGGTGCGGCTGATGGTGAGTGTGGTGGTATTGGCGGTTATGAGCGGGATGGTATGGCTGGTGCTGCCGATGCAGATACATATGGGGGGGATGATGATGCATGTGCAGCAGAGGATGATGCATATGGGGAGGATGATGGATGTGGGGTAGAGGATGAGGAGGATCCATGCGGTGAGGATGACGAGGCATGTGCGAATGACGAAGATCCATGCCAAGCCATGGATGCTCCATCATCATCAACCATCCGCCCTCGCTGCTCCTCGCTCCCACCTCCCTCTGCCCAACCTGCCACTGTATCTGTATTCACTACTGTCCATGCTATTGCCGGTGCTACAGCCCTTGCTACAGCCGGTGGTGCTAGGACCCGTCGCGTTTCGTCTGCTGCAACAGCTGCCGGTACCGGACGTAACAGTAGCTGGCTCTCAGGCGGTTTTCCAGGTGGTTTTCCAGGTGTTTTTTCAGGTGGTTTTCCTGGGCCTTCTGGGACGTGCTCTGCTCCTGTGACACCTGTTTCGTCTGCAGCAGCAGTCCGCTTCCGTCCGGGCTCAAACGCCCAAGATGTAACTCCAGATGTAATCGAGGATGCAACGGCAGATGTAACGCGAGATGTGATGCCAGATGTAACACCGCTGCCGCCTGCTCTACTGACACAGCTGCAAGAATTGGATGAATCTGAAAGGGTAGGTGTAGCAGTGAGGCCTGCATTGGCTGATGATACTGCTGCTGGTGGTGCTGGTGGTGCTGATGGTGGTGCTGGTGCCGGTGCTGGTGCTGGTGCTGGTGCTGATACTGGTATTGGTGCCGGTGCTAGTACCGCCGGTGCTGGTGATACTGCTGCCGGTGCTGTTGGTGCTGCAGGCGTTGATGGGGTTGATACTGCTGCCGGTGCGCGTGGTGCTGCTGGCGTTGCTGGTGCTGGTGGTGCTGGTGCTGGTGGTGCTGGTGATGCTTCCGGTGTTGGTGGTGCTTCTGGTGCTGGTGCTGCTGGTGCTGCTGGTGCTGGTGTTGCTGATGCCGGTGCAGCATCAGCAGCAGGAGTAGGTGCAGGTGCAGGGGCAGGAACTGCAGCAGCAGCAGCAGCAGCAGCAGCAGCAGCAGCAGCAGCAGCAGCAGCAGCAGCAGCAGCAGCAGCAGCAGCAGCAGCAGCAGCAGCAGCAGCAGCAGCAGCAGCAGCAGCAGCAGCAGCAGCAGCAGCATCAACATCGTCATCAGCAGCAGCCGCAGCAACAGCAGCATCACCAGCCGAGCAGGGATCAGCCAGGGATGGACAGGAGCACTTGCTGCATCAGCAGCAGCAGCAACAACAGCAGCATCAGCAGGAGCAGCAGCAGCATACTGGTGCGGAAGGTAGCACCCCTGAAACTGCAGCTGGGGGTGAAGGCACCACGCCCGAAACTGCATTCAGTGAGCACAACCCAAGCAGAACTGCCCCCACTAGGGAAGCAAGGAGTAGCCATGATGACCAGTCACTCCCTCTTGCTTCTCCTCCTGATGCTTCCAGCAATGCTTTCAGCGAGAACCCCATGGCCTTCAGTGGGAACAACGCCAACAGGCAAGAAGATCCCCCCGCTAGCAGACGGGAGTCTAGAGACCACTGGGCTGTTGAGAACACCCAGACCTTAAACCCTAATACTGAGCTTCCCCCATCTGCCTCCCCTGCAAAGGCTGTTCCCTCGCCTTACCCCGCTGCTGGGACTGCCTTAGCCTCGCCCCTGGGGATGCGTAACTCTCCTATGCCTGGGAAAGCATTCGCCCGTTCTGTCTCTCCAGGGAGTGTGTTCCCCCCTCGTGCCCTTCACAAGGCAACTATTAGGCTTGTTGGGATGAAGAGAGACAGGGAGGAGGAAGGGGAAGATGTGGGTGTGCCAGTGGGACCGATGGTGGGTGGAGGGGGGAGGGTGGCGGAGGTTACTGTGACTGTATCCGCTGTTCCTATGAGGAAGTATATGAGGAGTGCGATTGGGAGGGAGGGGGCCGGGGAGTGGGATGGGGAGTGTGAGAGGGAGGATGGGGGAGAGGAGAGGAGGGAGGAGGGTATGGAGGAGGGGAGTGAGGATGGGGAGGAGGAGGGGAGGGAGGAAGGGAGGGAGGAGGGGAGGAGGGAGGAGGAAGGCAGCAATGAGCATGAGCTGGGAACAGCAGCAGGGAAACGAGGAGCAGAAGGGGCGGGAGGAGCAGAAGGGGAGGGAGGAGCAAGAGCCGGCCTGCGGGCAGGGGGCGGGTGGGGAGCAGGTGGGGCAGCAGTGTCAGGAGCGGCAGCGGCAGTGTCGGAAGCAGCAGCAACGGTGACGGCGCCAGCAGCAGCAGTGCCTGCTGGTCTTTCCAGGGGGGATGTTGATGCAGTAGCAGCTGCTAGTGGTAGTGGGGTTGGGAGGGATGTTAACTATGCTAGTGATAGAGTAATGACTGGTGGTGGGGGTGGAGGGGAGGTGATGGTGCTGAGCTGTACTGCCATGGTGCCTAGTGATAGAGTAATGGATGGTGCAATACCTGCTACTGCTGCCTGTGCTCCTGCTTCTTCTTCTGCTGCCGCTGCCGCCGCCGCTGCCGTTGCTGCTGCTGGTGCTGCTGCTGGTGCTGCTGCTGGTGGTGCTGCTGGTGCTGCTGGTGCTGCTGCTGGTGCTGCTCCTGGTACTGCTGCTGGTGCTGCTGCTGGTGCTGGTGGTGGTGGTGCTGGTGGTGGTGGTGCTGGTGGTGCCGAGAGGGCAATGGTGGTTAGCGGTGTTGCAAGCGCTGTTGCTGCGAGTGGTGGTGTTGCTGTGGGTGCTGGAGGGGAGGTGGGGGCGGAGGGGAGATTCATGTGTCTTGCGCCTGGGTGTGAGAAGACGTACAAGAATAGGGATAACATGAACAAGCACTTCGCCAAGGTACGTTCACATTCACATTCACACCACAGCAAGCGCTGCTGCTGCGAGTGGTGGTGTTGCTGTGGGTGCTGGAGGGGAGATTGGGGGCAGAGGGGAGATTCATGTTCCTGGTGCCTGGGTGTGAGAAGACGTACAAGATTAGAGAAAACATGAACAAACAAGGCGAGAGCTTGAGATAATTTGAAAACATTTGTCCTCCTCTTTCCTCCCTCTCCCTCCTCCCTCTCCCTCCTCCCTCTCCCTCCTCCCTCTCTTTCCTCCCTCTTCCTCCTCCCTCTCTTTCCTCCCTCTCCCTCCTCCCTCTCTTTCCTCCCTCTCCCTCCTCCCTCTCTTTCCTCCCTCTCCCTCCTCCCTCTCTTTCCTCCCTCTCCCTCCTACCTCTCTTTCCTCCCTCTCCCTTTTCCCTTGCCCACTACCCTACCCACAGGTGCACAGCAAGACGGCACGCCTGTACGAGTGCAACTTGCTGCGAGTGGACGGGTCCTCTTGCGACTTCAAGACGCACGATGCGGGGAAGATGAGCAACCACAAGAAGTACAGCCTGGCGCACAACCGCAGAGAGGACTTCAAACACCCCTGCGAGTCATGTGGCACTCGCTTCCCTCGAAGGTGAGTCAGTGTTGGTTTAGGCGACTCGTGGGGAAGATGAGATGAGCAAGGTGAGATGAGAAGGTGAGTCAGTGCTCTTGTAGGCGACTCATAGGGAAGGTGAGATGAGCATTAAGCGATCACAAGAAGTTTAGCCTGGCGCACAACCGAAGGGAGGACTTAAGACACCCCTGCAAGTCATGCGGCACGCGCTTTCCTCAAAGCTATGCTGCTCGTAGGCTTCCTGGAAATTCCTGTGGCTGCAAGACACATGACGTCTCTGCCCCCCCCCCCCTTCCGCCCCTGTCTCTCATCCCTCACTCCTTCCCCTCCCTAGCACAAGCTTGACAGGCACAAGCCAGCGTACAAAGGTCTTTCTTCTGCTGCCACTCAGATAAATCGCCCCAAGAGTTCCTCCCCTACTCCCCCTTCCCTTCCCCCTCGTCCCTTGCTTGTCCCCTTCCAGGCACGAGCTCAACCTTCCCCCCTCTGTCCCCTCGTTGCTCCATATTCCCTTCCAGGCACGAGCTTGATAGGCACAAGCCAGCGTGCAAGGGTCCTTCCGCTGCTGCCGCCGCTCCCAGCCAGCAGCAGCAGCAGCAGCAGCAGCAGCAGCAGCAGCAGCAGCAGCAGCAGCAGCAGCAGCAGCAGCAGCAGCAGCAGCAGCAGCAGCTGGTGCGATCGAGCGTTCCCACCGTCACCGTTCTGACCAGTGCCAACGTGCATTCCCTTGCTGACGTGGCTAATAATGACAACAAGGACGATGCGGGCGGCGCAAATCAGGCGTCAATTCAGGCAGCGAACCAAGCTTCCTTTCAAGCCCAGATTCAAGACTCCTTCCCAATGCACAGCCAGCCTCCATTCCAATCCCCGAACCAAACCTCATTCCAAACCTTGAACCAACCGAACCAAGGCTTATTCGAGGCACCGAACCAAGGCTTATTCCACTCATCGAACCAGGTTTATCACACAGAAATAGGTATAAGGAGTTCGGGAGAAGAATGGGGGGTAGGGGACGAAGGAGGGAGAGTAGGAGGGGGAGGGGGAGGGGGGGGGGGAGGAGGAGGAGGAGGAGGAGGAGGAGGAGGAGGAGGAGGAGGAGGAGGAGGAGGAGGAGGAGGAGGAGGAGGAGGAGGAGGAGGAGGAGGAGGGCGAGGAGGAGGAAGAGGAGGAAGAGGAGAAAGAGGGAGGGGAAGAGGAGGAGCAGTAGGGGGTGGTTACAATACATTGCCTTCGGAAAATGCAACAATTCAGGGAACGTTAAGGGTTTTGAAAATGGGTGGTGGTGCTGCCGCCGCTGCTGCTGCTGCTGCTGCTGCTGGTGGTGGTGCTGCTGCTGCTGCTGGTGCTGGTGCTGCTGCTGCTGCTGCTGCTGGTGCTGGTGGTAGTGGTAGTGGTGCTGCTTCTATTGCTGCGCGTTCTGCTCGTGCTGCTCTTGCCATTCGTGCTGCGAATGCTGCTGCTGCAGGGAGGGGAGGGCAGGGGGTGGGAGGAGGAGCGGGAGGAGCAGGAGGAGGAGGAGTAGGAGGAGGAATGGGACTTGCTGGAAGGAGGGAGGGGGTAGGAGGAGGGATGGGGGGAGGAGAAGGGGTGGGGGAAGGGGAAGACGCGGGAATGGGGGGAGAGATGGCTGGGGGAAGTCATGAGGTGGGGGTGGTTGCGGGGGAGGGTGAGGGGAATGGGCGGAGCGGGGGGGGGGTTGGGGGGATGGGAATGGGGGGAATGGGGGGAGCAGGGAGCATGGGGGAAATGGAAGAGGCGGTGCTGAGTAGGATATTAGAGGCGCATGGGATGGGGGGATTTGGGGGAGATGGCATGGGGGCATGGGGCGTGAGAGGAGGGGGCATGGGGGAAGGCATGGGGGGAGGCATGGGGGAAGGGGAGATTGGGGAAGGAGGAGCAGAGGGGGATGCGATGTGGGGGGGGAGATGTAGATACTGGGGTGATGGGCGCAGCAGGGGCAGGGGGAGGGGGGGGAGGTGGGTTAGAAGTAGGGGGAATGGGCGGATGGGAACATGCAGGGGGAGGCGGAATGGGGGAGAGAATGGATGATGCAGGTGGGATGGGAATGGGGGTGGACGAAAGAGGAGGAGGAAGAGGGGACGCAGGGGGGAGGGTGGTCGGAGGTGGCAGGGGGGGAGCCTCGGATTGGGGAACAGGCATGGGAACAGGTATGGGAACAGGTATGGGAACAGGCATGGGAACAGATATGGAAACAGGTATGGCGCAGCAGTTTAGCAACAGTATGGATGGTATGAGAAGAGGTATGGGAAGAGGCATGGGAAGAGGTATGGTAAGAGGTATGGGACGAGGCATGGGAAGAGGTATGGTAAGAGGAATGGGAGGGGGTATGGGTGGAGAGATGGAGGGAGGTATGTGGGGAGGAGTGGATGGAAATATGGGTGTAGGAGTGATGGGGGAAGGCATGATGGTGGGAACGATGGGGGGAACGATGGGGGGAAATCCAATGGTGGGAGGCGCAGGGGAGTGGGGAATGGTTGGGAGTGGTGCTGCTGAATCAATGATGATGATGATGATGATGATGAATGGTGGGGAAACAGGAGGGGATGGAGGGATGGGAGGAGGAGGGAGGGGAGGGGGAGGAGGCAATGCGAGCATGGGTGGCATGGGGAGTGGCATGAGTGATATTACTGCCATGAATGGTGGCATGGGTGGTGGTAACATGGGTGGTGGTAACATGGGTGGTGGGATCATAGGTGGTGCCTACAGCAGCACCATGCCTGATTACATGCCGACCATGCCTCAACCCATGCATTCACCCATGCATGCACCCATGCATGCACCCATGCGTGCATCCATGCGTGCTCCCATGCCCCGTCATGTAAGCCCCCATGTGAGCCCACACATGGGCTCCTCACACATGGGCTCCTCACACATGGGCTCCTCACACATGGGCTCCTCACACATGGGCTCCTCACACATGGCAAGTTCTCTCATGCATGATGCAATCCCACCCATGGAAGGTTTGCCTGCATTCGAGGGCCATCCGGGCATGGAGGGAAACCACCCTAGGATGGGGGGGGCATTAGGCCATCAGGGCATGGAGGGAAACCACCCTAGGATGGGGGGGGGCATTAGGCCATCAGGGCATGGAGGGAAACCACCCTAGTATGAGGGGGGCATTAGGCCATCAGGTCATGGAGGGAAACCACCCTAGGATGGGGGGTCGGCAGCATGGGATCATAGGAGCAGGGACCGGGGGGCTGGAGGGGACCGGCATGGGGCAAGGGGTGGGGGAAGGGGTGGGGGAAGGAGGGTATGCGTTGGGGGATCAGATGGGGGAAGGTCTGGGTGGGGGAATGAGGGGTGCGGGCATGGGTGAAGGCATGAGGGGGGATATGAGGGGTGTTGGCGTGCCCAGAAGAATGGGGGGTCACAAGCCTATAGGTCCAGCAGCAGGAGCAGCAGCAGGAGCAGGAGCAGGAGGTGTAGCAGAGATGGCAGCAGCAGTAACAACAGCACCAATAGCAGCCCGCCACGTGTCCGGTTCCCAAACCTCCTTCCGTCCAACCGCACGGCATGCTTCGTCCGTTCTGCCACCAACCTCCTCCACTCCTCCATCCATCCCTCTGTCCTCTACCGTCCCTCCTCCTCCCCCTCCTCCACCTCCTCCTCCGCCCACCACATCACTGGGTTTTTCAGAGCATTCTTCCCGGCTGCAACTCTCCCTTACCTCAAACCCTTCACCCGGACCTACACCAGCCTCTGCGTGTGCTCCCATTCGCGGTGTTCGCTCGGGGCTTGGCTTGGGGGTCGGGGGAGGGTTTGGGGATATGGGTGGGGGAGGGGGTGGCGGCGGTGGCGGAGGGTCTTTTGCTGGTGACGCGTGTGCGCCTACTCTGGTGAGTCGTTGTTCCCTTCCTTTTAGGGCAATTGGCGTGGGAGTCAGGGGAGGGTTCGGGGATATGGGTGGGGGAGTGGGCGGCGGCGGCGGGTCTTTTGCTGGTGATGCGTGCGCGCCGACTCTGGTGAGTGTCTTCTATCTTGTGGTATCAAACCCCTCACCCGGACCTACACCAGCCTCTGCGTGTGCTCCCATGCGCGGGGTTCGCTCGGGGCTTGGCGTGGGAGTGGGGGGAGGGTTCGGGGATATGGGTGGGGGAGGGGGAGGTGGTGGTGGTGGCGGCGGCGGGTCTTTTGCTGGTGATGCGTGTGCGCCTACTCTGGTGAGCGCTTGATCAAATTGGGTGTCTCTTACCTCTATTCGGGAGGGAGGGGGAGTCTGGGGAGGGGGAGTCTGGGGAGGGGGAGTCGGGGGAGGGTTCGGGGATATGGGTTCGGGGATATGGATGGCGGTGGCGGCGGCGGGTATTTTGCTGGTGATGCGTGTGCGCCTACTCTGGTGAGTGTCTTCTATCTTGTAGTATCAAACCCCTCACCCGGACCGACACCAGCCTCTGTGTGTGCTCCCATGCGCGGTGTTCGCTCGGGGCTTGGCGTGGGGGTCGGGGGAGGGTTCGGGGATATGGGTGGGGGAGGGGTTGGCGGTGGCGGGTCTTTTGTTGGTGATGCATGCGCGCCGACTCTGGTAAGTGCAGGTCTTTTGATGTGGTATCACCCTCTCTTTTACCCACCCCCCCCCCCCCCCCCCCCCCCCCCCCTTCCCTCCTTCCCTTCCCTGTACCCCTTTTTATTGCGCTTCTTTTTTCTTTCATTCTCAGCTCTTTTATTCTCTCGTTTCTGCCTCACAATGTTTTGGTCATTGTTGTATTTGCAGGACCTGTTGAAATGGTGACATGACCACCATTGGTTTACACGTTCCGTGATGTCAACCCGCCAACAAACCTTGCAATGCCAATATCTGAACTAAGGGCAGCAGGTGCATACCTACTAGTGCTGCTTTAGCTTATAGGGTAGGATCACTTGATCCGACCCTTTCTTTGCACTATATATAGGTGTGCAAACAATCCTTACACATCACTTTTGGGGCATTATATTAAAGTACCCCGCACGCCTTGCGTCGCACTGGTCTGGTATCACCCTCTCTTTTACGCCCCCCTTCCCCCCTTCCCTTCCCTGTACCCCTTTTTATTGCGCTTCTTTTTTCTTTCATTCTCAGCTCTTTTATTCTCTCGTTTCTGCCTCACAATGTTTTGGTCATTGTTGTATTTGCAGGACCTGTTGAAATGGTGACAAGACCACCATTGGTTTACACGTTCCGTGATGTCAACCCGCCAACAAACCTTGCAATGCCAATATCTGAACTAAGGGCAGCAGGTGCATACCTACTAGTGCTGCTTTAGCTTATAGGGTAGGATCACTTGATCCGACCCTTTCTTTGCAGTATATATAGGTGTGCAAACAATCCTTACACATCACTTTTGGGGCATTATATTAAAGTACCCCGCACGCCTTGCGTCGCACTGGTCTAGTAATCGACTGAACTGGCAAATCTCTGGCTGATGATGCAATCAGCATTGAGTACAAACATGCCCTTGAAAGTCGTGTGTCTCAGTTTTCCTACCGTATGTAAACATGAAAAAATTCTAAGCGTTTATCGCTTTCAAATTTGCGTATTGTGAAAGCGAAGCTGACTGTAACGCAATTCCTCGCATCGTCGAAGCGCGGTATTCGCCTTCTCTGAATATATAATGTGGGCTGGGGTCATTCTTCCCCCACCCACGTCTCTCATTTTTACAATCTCTCAAGTTCAATTCCCACCCACCCTCCCCATGCCAGTAATCTTCAGAGAGTAGTAGTTCTTAGACATTTTGGATGAGTGCCCCTTAGGATCTTTGGTAGAGTTAAAGTCTGAGTAAAGTAATGTCGTAGCGGAAGCGTTTTAAGTAAAGTCCTTGAACCACCTTGCGCTAGTATGTGAGGGCAAAGTAAGTTGATTAAAGCAAAGAAATACAAGAATATATATATAAATACAGAGAATATGAAGAGACATAATTATAACTACTTTACTGTTGCTTGTTGCGGTTCGATATAGTGCGACTCGGGCAACTGCTCAATGTCGAGTCAGTTGTGTGTCCTTGGTGTCGCGCTGCATTTGTCATGTCAAAGGTCGCTGACCTTTGACTTTCGCGTAACCTCCAGCGGTTACATCAACCTCCGAGGGTTAACTCGCTGGTGCCTCGATATGCTCTGCTTCGCTTGTGTCTTGGTGTTTCGACACGACAGAGGCGCTTAAGATTATTTGTTCCCAACACTCCCCTTCACTTCTGGAGTGTCGCTGATGGTGACGTGGCTTTGTCCAGTCAGCAGCATGCAGTACTCGAACTTCTGTTTTCCGAGCTTCTTGGTCAAGTAGTCAGCTGCCATCTCGGACGTGGGACAGTAGGATAGTTCAAGTTTCCCCTTCTCGATCTCGTCTTTCACGAAGAAATATCGCAGAGCGATATGCTTCGTTCTGTTCGCGAATCCACTTTTGTTGGCGATGCGAATCGCAGATTGGTTGTCGCAGAACAGAGTGAAGTTGGGTAACTCGGCTAACTTCGCTTCTTCCAGCAGCTCGCGAAGATAGAGTCCTTCCTTGGTAGCTGAGCACAGTGCAATATATTCGGCTTCAGCTGACGAGAGAGCGATTAGTTCCTGCTTGCTCGATTGCCAGGAGATCGGTCCGATAGGTTCGAGGCGGTAGATGTAGCCAGTGCGGGAGCGCCTATTGTCTGAGTCGCCAGCGTGATCGGCGTCGACGTAGCCGATTAATTTAGTCGGTGTAGTTGTGTTCTTGTAGTAGGTCAGACCGATCGTTGAGGTACTGACAAAGTAGTGGAGAGTGCGGTTGACTCCGCCAGGTGTTCTACTTCAGGTCTTTTGAGGTAGGTGGCGAGTTGACTTGCGGAGTAGGATAGATCTGGGCGGCAGGTGACGGCTGCGAAGAGAAGGCAGCCCAGCTTTCTCTGGTAGTCGCGTATCCCGGCGGATTTGAGTAGAGAGGATCCTTCGTTGTGGTTTCCTGTCGTGTAGCGGTAGGGCGTAGAGATGGTGGTAGGTGTGAGCGCGAAGCGTTTGGCGATGGTGTCGGCGTACTTAGCGGCGTTGAGGTAGATCCCGCCTTCTTCTTCCCGAATGTTTAAGCCGAGGTACTGTGTGACGGTAGAGGAGACCGTGAGTGTGAGGTCCCTCTGTAGCTCCCCTTCGAACCAGGTGGTGATGTCGTCAGTAGAGCCGATGTAGAGTAAGTCGTCTACGTAGACGATCAATAGAATGTAGTCGGTGTCTTTGGTGAGTCGGTACTGTCAGAATTTATATATGTACCTGCCTCTAGCTGTAGTAAGTGTAGTTATTATAAACTTTGTTAGGTGGTGCACCTTCTTTGTTCACATGCTATATGTTCTTGCAAACCTATAGTGAACACCCTTCATTCCCAACTCTCTTGATACCCTTGGCACAAACCACTCGATCTCCTTGGCCTAGGCTACTAATCCTAGACCGTCCTGAACTTTCAACTACCTATTAAGCTAGTATCTTGACAGGTACATCCCTTGGTCGTGAGGCAGTTGGCGGAATCCGATGCGAGTGAGGCGAGCGTGTAAGTACTGTTGCCATAGCTGCGGAGCTTGCTTGATCCCGTAGAGTGATTTCAGCAGTTGACAGACTTGGTTAGGTTCCCCGTGGGTACCGTGTGGGAGCTCGACGAAGATTTTCGCGTTGACAGGTGCGTAGAGGAACGCGTTGGCGATATCGATTTGCCGTAGCTTCTTCTTCTTCATAGCGGCGATCGCGAGGAGGATTCGAAGTGAGGTATGTCGGCTGACCGGGGCGAATGTCTCAGTGAAGTCCCGTCCGTGCTCCTGATCGAATCCACGCACAACCCAGCGTGCTTTGAATTTCTCAATTGTGCCGTCTGCTTTCGATTTAATGCGGAAGACCCATTTCTCGGTGAGAA